TAATTGCTCTCACCCAATTAAACTAATTAAATAAATAACTGGCCAGCGGCCTTACAAAAATCGGAAAATAATAATGCTTCATTACAAGATTTTAAAAACTATCGATTCTGCATGTATTTATAAGTAGCAAGCCCCCTGCATAAGCAGTTTTTCTCAACATTTTCGTTTGAATAAAATTTGCTTCCTGCACACCGTGTCCAGGAGTGTCAGGAGTTTGTTGCAATTTGTGGAAATGGTGTGTTCATGTTTTCTAGAAAATTTTGTATTATTAGTTCTAGAAGTAGTATAATAATTAGTTCTTTAATTTTTAGAGGACCCAACTAATTTGAAAAAACAGCATTAATGCGTTTATATTAAGAATTTATTTAAATTTCTTAAAGAAGAATTTTTTACATATCACATAAAATACATATATTTTGTGTTCTCTCATATTTGCTCACATATCATTTTTTTACTCTTATTAAGGGCGCCGTATTCTTTAAATAGTGTTTTCCACAAAGACAAATAATTTCAAACATTTAATAACTGAATAATCTAAAGCTTATCAAATAATAGGAATGTTCTGTTATGCCATCTGCGTATTTTCAGAGACGCCGCAGTAAAACAAATAAACAGGTACAAAAAACGATCAAACCATCAAGATTTTAGGTACTAAGAAAATATTAACTTTTTTATATATAACCACATGTAATCTTATAACATTTACTTGCTTAGTCCTACATATAAAATTGTTTACTTTTATTTATAAGTACATGAAAATAATTCTTAAAATGTGGGGATAGGATAACAGCAAACTCATGTTTTACAAACGCTTTTTTTTAGTTATTATTTTATTTGAGTAAATTTAAATAGTAACAATGAATAAACAGAACATCAAGGATTTTATTTTTGTACTTACTTTTGTTCTACACGTTTTACTTTTCAAGATTTCAGTACCTAAAAACGCCAGAAATTTGACTATTTCTCAGCCAGGGATATGGCCACCTTAAGGTATTAGATAGTGAAACAGATTGTATCAAATGAAGTCAAACAACATTCTTAGATACCAGAAATCCTGGTATGGTATCGAAGAATGTTGTTTGACTTCATTTGATAGGATTTGTTTGAATTCGCTCAATAGGTGCATTAATAAATATATAGAGTAAAAAAAAAAAGTTATAAGAATTGCAGTATTAAATGCAACACTCTGTATACGAAAATAGAAATAAAGATGGTTAAAATCCACACAAAAATTTTTTTTGTGGAGGCATCCTCAAATTTGTGAAATTGTGAAAAGATGCTTTATAAAGCAGGGGCACTATACCAAAAAATCATTGCCATAAATATGATACCAGAATTGCATCATATGGCAAAAACTATTTTAGGCTTCTTACGAAAACCTGAAAACTGACACCAAGACGAGCTGTTAAAAAAGTGTTAAATATTTCAACTAGAAAATATACATTTTTTTTTTAGGTTGCAGAAAGAGAATGATAATTTAGTAGGAAAGTACACTATCCATTCCCAGGAACTGCAAAGTGAAGTTATTAATCTTCCCAACACAGTTGAGGTGAAGTAATATTTTTTACTAAGTATCATATTCTTTTATTAAAATTGGAAGTATGAATATATGGACTAGGACCAACCTTCTCTACTTTTCCTAATAAATTTTCAGCCCCTCCCCTACTTCTCTAATTAACTCTTCCTTTTTAATGAGATTTTTAATATACAGTACAATCCCAATTTTTGTCACTCGCTTATGCATGTTTCATATTATTAACCTATGCACGTGATAAATAAATATGTTAAATTTGTTGGAAATTATGTGGTCTGATATCAATATGATCTATCCGTCTGTATCCAAGATTATTTTCGTAATACAATCTACAAGGTGAACTAACGTGCAATGGATAATATGTTTAACAGTTTAATGAAGTAAGTAACACAACACAGTATTAGAGATACAGATAGTACAAAAAATTATGTTTTTTGTAATATCTGAAGACTGTCCATTCATCTCTTCATTAGAAAATGCCATTCGAAACGATTGTATCAGACTGTCCGACTAACGTCAAAAGTTTGACAATTCATTTATTATAAAATGACATCATCGCTTATTACGTTAGTAATGATTATAGTGAGTAGTTGTACTTGAGTTGTAGTGATAATGACATCTAAAGTTAAAAACATTTTTTTGAGTAAAAACTATGAATGCTACAAGATTTTATCAAGAGCACAAAAATCTCAAAAAAGGACTGATGCATCAATAAAAAAAATGAATTGATTCCTGCGACCAAGTAAAAAGTTCTGGTAATTCTTGTGCCAAGACACTCAAGAATTACCACTTGCCTAAGGCGGATGGACGTAATTGCTTTATCAAAACATGAGTCTTACTTAGGAACAAGTCCACAGCAAGTTTCATTAAAATCCATTCTCCAGATATTATTTTTAGTCCAATTAACTAAGCCTTTAAATCGAAATTTTGTCAACTTGGCTGAATTTTTGATATGAGTTAGTTTAAGGTATATTATAACAATAAGTGAGAGTAATTTTTTGTTCAACCCCCGGCCAAGGGTGGAAAAAGATAAAACAAAGGGCTTTTTCAAGATAACTCAAAAAGG